CTGAGACAACGCCTTTTCCCCACTGCCCACATTCTCATTCCGGGTTTTGAACCCGTAAAAGTAAGCCGAACAAGCAAATGGCCAACAAGTTGGGGTCAAGAGAAAGCTTGGAGGGTCCCTGTATGGGATTTTCGAGCCGTGTAGCTTCAATGCTTCCATGAAAGAATCCAGCTATGAGAAACAGACCCATATAAATACTATTCTATGCATTGTGGCATATACCTTATTTCACGCAAAAATGCACAAACAAACATAAGCACGCAGCGAATATCTTGGTCGTTATTGCATAGCTGAGCTTATTTCTTGGGTTCGCACCTACCTCCCTCTCCGCTATTACAGCCATTCTATTCACATTAAAGAAGGGTGTAATGGACCAGGGTCTTATTTCGGCATCACACTGACGAGGTTCAAACTGGTGAGCCTGCGGAAGGTTCACGAAGGGCACATCGTTCCGAATACAGCGCTCCTTTCTCTACAGAAACTTGGGGAGGGGATCCCATATTGGATAGCTTTCCTCCGATTTATTCTCTGTTATGCCGCAGTGCTCTGTTTTTTGGCTTCTGGCTGTACTTGGCACTCCTTCCTACTTTGAACTGCTAATGGCCCTGTCCACGGTAGACCACCCTTTACTGCCTGATTACAAGCTGCCACGGTTTTAGTAGCCTTTCTAGTACATGACAAGTCCTGCCGAAAAAAAGATTTTGCGGTTTTGCGCGCACTACCCATGCCTCTAGTACGACCCCCGTGAACTTCAAATTTCAATTTCACTTACTTCGTCACCTCTCCCGCCAGTATCTCCGAGAAAACTCGTCCGACAGCAGGCAGAAGGAGAAGGCACGGATGGCCGAGTGGTCTAAGGCGCCAGACTCAAGAAGGAGAAGGCGTACTACAGCAGGAACGATGAAATTCCTGTCATTTTTCCAAAACGCTCCTTTGAGTTGATGCAAACTTTTCTCGATAATCCCAAACATCTCCCTTCCCCTGGTGTCTCGAATTAGACCCCCTGTTTGTTGAGGATCCATCAGATCGTCCGAGCAAGAACCGTCCAAGTATGGCTAGTTGGCTGCCAGCTCCCAAGGTCCGAGCAGCGCTTCAATAAGCGTCCCTGCACGATTTGGCCAAGCACTACGGCGAGTTCTTGGGCTGCCGCCCATTGAAAGCCGCTCACAGCTGATGATTGATGAACACAACTTCGTCGAGAACGATAAGATAATGACAGCACTTTGACAATGATGATTACTGCCCTCGAGAACCAACTAAGGGCAGCAATCTTTCTTGGAGTACGGTAGTTCCAGCTTTTAGTCAGGGCCTGGCGAATGAAATATGATCATGCGCATACCTTTACGAGTAAAAAGACCGGTTTGCAGCACTTCCGTGCTGACTACGCGGCCATGAATAGTTCTCCATAGCCCGTTTTCTCCTTCTACCCCTTCTACGAAACATGAAATCAATACCTATGCTTTACGTAGGTAGCTGATGAAAAAGACCGGACTGGAAATTGGAAGGCTCGTACTATGACTATTTTTGGAAGGCCTTGTAATGGCTTTTTCTGAGGAAACCTGGCATTAACAGAATCAATACTAGCAGGAACTGGACTTGATTTAGATCTCCAGGATGCGCCATGCGCTTCACATCCATTCAGAAGGGAACCACGATGCTTACCATGCTTACCTGTTCGCTGCATAGGTGAGGGCGTGCTAACGGGAGCGGTTTGGCGCGGAGCCAGCTCGTTTTCTCCACCAAAAAAAGACAGCA